TCGGTTGAGACCGCCACTACAAAGTAGTAAAGACCAAGCCGTGCAATTTCGAAGACTAACGGGGGTCAAGTATTATATCTAGATTTGAGCAAAGTGAGTTGTTGTTGTCTAAGGAGCAAAGCATCAAACAGTTAGTCGGCAAGGACTGCTATACCTCGTTTACGCTATCCCAAACTGTCCTTTCTTCGTAACTGTCGTCCCAACCAGCTGAAATGGAGCACTCTCTCTCTCTCTCTCTCTGACACTGACGCTCAAGTGTGCTAGGTTCGTTGTATGGGGAAAACTGGTCATTGGTTGATCATAGGACCCAACCCAGGTCTTACAAATGGGTAAGCCATTGGTCGCTGATCAAACCGGGACGAAGGAAGCTTGCTTTCTTTGTCAAATGATGAGAACGAAACCTGTGGTCGTGAAGATTGGACGACCCTATACACTTGATTATTTATCTTCTCTGATCCACCAATCCCACTCATGCCACCTGAGCTAGACCTCATAAACCCGCCATTTTAACTTGAATTTACGAGCGGTTTTCGTCTATGCACAAACCATGCAAAAATAAGATTCTAAAACCAAAATTTGTGCCAAGCGTGGCCCATTTAAAATGTTAAGAAAGAGAAAATAAATAACTCTTCAATAGTTGAAGAAAACAATCGGCTTACTTGCTCGGTATTCGTTGTTGGAAAGATTTCTGATTAACTTTTTTTTTTTTTGGTTGCTACAATTAGGAAGGGAAAGGGGAGTTTTCAAGTTATCATGCTGTTTCAAACTTGAGACTACTTGTCTGCAAGTCAAGTCCCTTTTACACTGAACTAGACACCACTGACTGATTAAGAGTTGAGACATATAACGCGGAAGGAAAATTATATGGATTCGAGGAATAAAAATGCATAAGGATAGCGTGAATTGAGTTTTGGTAGATGAATTCTCGAAACAAAATGAGATTTGATTTCCAAAGAGAGGCTTTTCTGCTCACCATATCTTAATTTTGAGGTTTCACTTGAAACAAACAAGAACATCTGTTATCTAACCTAACCACCCGCAGTGATAAATCCCACTGCTGTGCTGCACCTTACAACTTGGGATCGGAGTTTAACTTTTGTTTATGGTTGTGTAAACTGATCTAGGCCCTAGAAATATCAAGCCTAGCAAAAGTTTCATGCCTGAAAGATAAAGCATGCAATGACGGTTCAATTTGAACACAATCAAGAATAAACGTGGGGTAAAGAGAAGCATAGAGAAGAGTAACAGTCCTACAACTAAACTGAATAACAGTAGGGTGGTACCTTGCGTTGATGTTTTTCAGTCATCCTAACAACTTTTCACAATCACCTAGTACTACTAGAGTTTGATCAACATTAGAAATACAGCTTCCCGCCATGAGAAGGCAAGAAGCACGAGAAAAATATCATGATTAACACACAGACATCGCTACCATTAAACGGTTAGTGATTACAAACAAGCCATTATAAAAAGAGGATGAGATTTGGGGATGAGTCATCATATCAGTGGTTACCATCTTCACAAGAGTGTCATTATCTATCGGTAGTAAGCCTGCTGATAAGCTGGTACCATACCATTGCCATAACCCCCGTATGCAGGATAGTTCATGGGAGCTCCAGGATATGATCCGGCAAGTGGAGGGGCGGCTTCAGGTGAGTACGCATAGGGATTGGTTGGTGGGCTTCTGCTGCCATACATGGTGGGTGGGGAATGGTATGGTGAGTACCCAGCAGGATACTGAGCATGGGAAGGAGACCTGACAAACGTCGGAGGAGGTGTAGGGAAAGAAGACACATATGCATTCGTCAAGCGTCCAGCCTTGGCTGGAGGCATGGGACCTCCATTGTTGGCTCGTGTTCGTTTGTTGGCAGGGACTGCAGCTGGCCTTTTCTTCTCTGGTTTCACCTTCTCTAGCTGCTCAAGGCGCTTCTTGAGGTTTTCTGGAGGAAATTCTGCCTCAAGTTTGTAATCTTCAATACACTTGATGACAGCTCGGAGTGCTGACTGCTCTTTGCGTCCAGCTAGGTTCTGCACAGAAAGTAATAAAGAAAATATTAGTGATCAAATGAAAACGCAGGTTTCTACAGGTTTGATTATTCTGCATATGAGGAAAGGAGACTGAAGTTCATGCACTTCTAAGGACATTTTTCCAAAGAAATCAGAAATGAGACACAAGGATGTGAATGACTGCAGAATGCCTCATCATCAAGACATCCATAACAAGATGTATTATGCCTGATTATTCCTACTGCTTCACCAGTTAATTGACACATAAGGTGGAAATCAAATTCCACTCCAATAGCAGGAGTTTGTTGTCCCAAAACTTTTCAGTATATATACTTTTTCCAACAATAAGATAAAAACCGGGGATAAAAACTCTGAGAGCAAGCATGAATATGAAATGAAATAGGAAGAATTGCATGGAGGAAATTTCGTCATGTTTGAAACGGAGAGTGGAAATTTAGACATTGACTTTTCACTCACATGTAATAATTAATATAGGGTAAGATGTTGATATTAAGTATTTTTTGTAGATGGCTACCATCCTCTCCATTAGAGGAGAAAGCTTTTTGTGGGGGTGGGGGAATCCCCCTTTCTACCTTCCTTAAAACACAAACAAGGGAAAAGTTCCTTTCACATTCCCTTTTCTTTCCCCTCTCTCCCTCCATCTCTCCCTCTATCTCCCCTCCCAATCATTTGAGAAGGGAGAAAAAAACAGGGATTTGTGGGAATGAGAAGGCGGGAAGGGAATTCAACCCCCTCTCTGCCCCACCCACAGACACATAACTGGAATTTGAAATGTTGTAAAGAAAGAACCAGACAACGCTTTGAAAAGCATATTCACGACTGAAAGTCACAACATGCAGGATCATGCAACACCAATACGGTGCAATGATTAAAATCATACCGCAGCTCGACCAGCATTATTGGGATCTTCCATAATAGAAGCTGCAGCTTTCTTAGCATCTTTCAGAAAAGCTCTCAGCAGAGGAACAGGAGGAAACTTGTGCACAAGTCCAACTTCATAAGTGAAATGTACCGCATCAAGCTGTTGTCCCCTGCTGATTAATTCTTCAATCATATCTGCACATAGCAACAGCCTCTATACATTACAATCTAGAGAAGGGGCCCTCTTACTGTACACATAATGAACCATATCCAAACATTCAGAAGAAAGTCAGACAGAAAACTTAATATCTTTGCAAAACTATTACAAGGTCAATGAGATATCTTCATAATGTCAAAATCTTTGAGAAAAAAAAAACATTAAAGTTTGGGGGAGACTTGAGCACTTGAGCGATTACAAAGCATGTGGGCATAAAACATTGATTAGGTTTTACAGTTACTATCCACAAGTTATGATTCAAAAGGCAGGTAAGAGGTTTGCACTTAAAATCGTTAGGGATAGAGGTTAGATCCATCATACAGTCATATGTGAAGTAAGAAATAAACAAGTAAACTGGGAATAGCTGAAGAATAAAGGTGATAATATGCAACACTGATGAAACGATTATACAAATTTATCATTGGAAAGAGCAGAAATTTCCACATAGAAATAATCTGACCTGATCAAACCCATAAGCCTTGCTCAAAATTTACTAACCAGAAACCACATAGAAGCATGCCAATTTATCCATTATATATAGAGCTCAAATAGGTACATATGGGAACACACATTTTCCATAAGCTCTAAACAAAACCAAGCAATGGCCAACGAATTACATGGAAAACTAGACATGGCTAATAGCACAAGAAATAAAAAAGAACAAGTTAGAATTAGCAACGCACCCGGCATTTTCTTGGCGAGGCCAAGCGAAACGGCCAGCTTAGGCATCTGCTTGCGCCAGGCCGACCCAACCACAAGTTTTCTGTACAAATCAACATCCTCCTCCTTCACAATCCCAAAAGTCACCAAATGCTGCAGGAACGTGTGAACATCAGGAGTCTTCACGTTCTCAATGCCACCTCGCTCTTCCAAACTGGCCTTCCAAGTCTCGGCGATCTCCTTGGCACGTTCCTTCACGCTCGGCGTCACCAGAAGCCTTGATTTCCCGATCTTCGGGTCGACCACCACCGGAATCAGAGACTCCAGAACAAGAACGCAAGCCCAGCCCAAATCGTTACCCCTCTCGCTCTTGTCAACTCTCTTGTCCACCGGAAACACCTCCGATATCGCCTCGAGCACGAACTTCGCCGGATCAACACAATCAGCCAAAGCCAGAGGCATTTGTGACCTCAGAGCCTCCAATTCCTTCTTCCTCGCCGTCACGAACCTCCAGAACCGTCCAGAATCCATCTTCAAGCACAAGGACTTGAGATTCATCAGCAATCCCTCGTTGTCGTCCACCTCTCCGTCGTCATCGTCGGAGCGACCTCTCTTCAAGACCTTGAGCGCGGCCTCCTTGCTCTTCTCGACCTTTCCGACCGCGATCTCTACGCTCTCCATGATTGTGACCTCCCGCTGCTCGAGCTCGTCGAGTGACTCCTTGGTCTCCTGCTCTAGGTTTTGAATTTTGCGCTTGATGGCCTCAGATTTCTTCAGTAAATTCTGCTCCAAGGACGTGAAGTGGTCCGAGAGCTCCTTCCACAGTAGAGTACAGCTGGTCATGAGAGAGGTCTGCCTCTGGAACTCGTCGAAGCTCGGCGGAGTCAACTCTGTCAACTCGCCGGGATCGGGGATCGACCCCATCTGGTTGTCGTAGTACGGTCTAGCTCAGTAGTAGCCAAGCGAACAAGATAGGGAAGAGAGAAGGAGAAACCCTAGAATTTGGAGGTAGAGAGAGAAAAAGAGAAATAAAGCAAGTTGAGCTGAGCTTAAGCTAAAGGTAGCCGTGGACAGGAGAAAGAAGAAGACATTGCGATGACGTGGGTGGATGAGGGGAAGACACGTGTAGAAGAGTCTCAAAAAGCAGATACTATAATGCGCCGTGGCGGGAGAAGGCGCTAAAGTGAGCGGGAGGGTGGGGGTGCGCAGGATAAGAATAGTAATTTGGTAAAGTGATAATGATGACGTAAGATATACGAGGGTGTTTGGATGAGGGGGAAGCACTTTCCCGGAAACCGAAGTTAGATCAGAGAGAGAAAAAGTAGAGAGAGAGAGTGGGGGATGAAAAGCTGGAGAAAGTAAAGAGTTGGGGAGGTGGTGGGGTGGGGCAGGCCCACTCAGACCACCACATGGATAGAGTCAGATAAAGTAAAGAAGTGATAGATTGACGGGTAGGTGTGGGTGAGGACAAACATTTGTGTGGTGGAACAAAATTTACGTTGAACGGGAATAATGTTGTTTTGCTATTTTTGATCGATTATGATATGTAATATGTGATAACCTTTTCATTCTTATATATGAAGTCTAAGTTGGATTCGTCGGCTTCTTGATAACGGAGTTTGTAGTTTGAGTGGTTAAGAGAATTAACCTTTATGTTCGAAGAAGTTCAATTTATCCATTCTTTAATAACGCTTGTATATAAAAAAAAAAATCATGTAACGCTTGTCCGTTCCTTAATTCTTGTAAGTGACGACCGAATTATAATGCAATCTATCACTTTTATTTTTCTTTCGTTTTTTAAAATATTGTTCATGTCTTAGAAAAGAAAAGAGTATCATGTAGCTCGTGAGAGACTGAACAGAAGAGACGAGAATGAGGCATGCGCATGATGATCAGTCGTGAATCAGACATTCACTATCTACGGTCTACAATAACGGCAACACACCACGGTCTTTGAGTCAGACTTGGGCTTCCATGAGTAACTAACAACAAAAGGAATCTTTCCTTTTGTTAGTTATTTCTCAATAAACTATATGGGAACAAAATTCTTTATACTAGATCCACACCTACTCTTTGCAAATGAATTTGAATTTATACATACTCAAAATACGCATATGAATTGTGTGAATAAAATAATACTCAAACACACATCATTCTCATTCATATAGAATAATAATAAATTAGAGCAATAATAATTATGTCTTCAAACAGCCAAAAATTTGTTACGTAAATCCATCCTCCTGTTTAGGAACTAATGCAGTCCTTGCAATATGAAGAGAAATCATATAATATATTATTAAATCTAACGGGAATCGTATAGTTTGATCTGATTTACATCTCAACCCTTTGCCTCCTTTTGTATGAGATGGACTGATATGGGATAACAGAAGAAGTCAACAGATTCATATCCAGTCAGCCTGGCCCATTTATGAAGATGTATTTATGAGGCCCAATGGACTGTCAAGCCCACATGAGAGGTGGGGAATTAGACATGGAATGGAAAGACAGGTCCCAGGGATTGTGATCGTACCAGACAATCAAAGTCACATGGCAGGCAAGACCCCTATGACTGTACCAGACAATCAAAGTCTAGTACAACTAACATTTTCCTTCCCATTAACATCAAACAATAAAACACGTAGAAAATAAATCTAGTCCTGGTGAATTGAACTTCCAATAGGCTCAATCAAGTTAATTATTGAGCAATTATTTGCTGCAATGGTCAGACAAGTTGTTCAAAAAAAATACAAGCACTCTAAATCTTTCTTCTTTCTAATTTGAATTCTCTTCTTGTGCCTGAATACAGCAAAGCTGTAGCAGGAAAAAGCTGTGTACCAACCAAGACAGGCCATTACACTTCCAAGAATAATAGGCAGGCATCCGAAGGGACTCCGCCGCCACACAGCACTAGAGAATGCTGTCCATGAATTACAAAAAGCTTCCATCACCTTCACTATGATAAGGTATTTAACTAATAAATGACACGATATATGGAAATAAACTACAATACCTTAAAATGCCACCTGGAATCTACTTGGTTGATTTGTATTCCCTTAGGCTTTCAATCGCAACTTTCTTTCTTGTGTCAAAATCAACCTTGTCAAGGTCATAAGCAGTTCCAAGATAGCCATACAGGATCCTCTTTTTCTCCCGCGTCTTTTCGTCCAACTTCACAAGGTATTGATTGTTCTCGTCATCCTTACTGCCCAGCGTTGGGGGCTGTACACGAGCCCAAGCCCTACGTCCATGATTGTCCTTAACAAAGAATTCTGCCATGCGCATGGCCTCCTTAAGGCCTGCTTCGTCACCCGAAAACTTAACCAGAGTCATACCCAAATGACCATCTCTACCATACAAGGATTTTGACTTGCCACTCCCAAATCCAAGATCTGCTTATCAGAAATGCCACAGGAAAACAGGTAACTTGTCAAAAGGACTTCTTTTTTTTGGGGCAAATTCTCTCAGTGCACAATGAAGCCATCAAGGCTCAGAATGGAACCTCTCTATTTGTTCCACATGCCATGACAACGACTGCTAGCAGCAATAGAAGGCGGCTTCAGATTCTCTATCGAAAATCCAAAGCTACTTAAAACAACCCCTTATTGATAGGAACCATTAAGAAAACGGTTTTGTTGATGACCACCAGACCAGCGTCAAAAGGCTCTCACATGGTGCAAGGAAAACATACCATATGTACTCATGACTAAATGAACAGAAAATACATACAAAAGCACATAGCTAATATACCCGACTAATAACAAGATGATAGGCTGCAAATATCAATTGTAATGTCCATAAGCATAAAAGAAAAAGAATAAACAAAAAAAAGGTATAAGATCCAGTAACCGGAGAATAAACCACCAAAAACAAAGAAAAACAAAGTAGGAGTAGTCTTATATGTTATTTGCAACACAAGTAAACTCTAAATACAACCAGGCTAGGGTCACTTGCCTATACAAATGGCATCATTTTGCAGTGGATAAAAAAGCCAAGTACAAAACCGTAATCATATATTATGAAGAAGTTAGAGAGTTTGAAAGAAACTACCTAAAATAGCAACCAAGCCCATTAAACAAGGGAAAACCATTTAACAAAAGTTTAAATAAAATGTAAGAGTAAACCTTTCAAGTTTATCTAGGTTCTATCTATGGGAGATCTGAGAACATTGCTCATTTTGCCAGACAGTGCCCTTCTTGGTTTGTCTCAGTTCAGTAGGAGGTTTTGGCCCAATTTGCCATTTTTGGCTGAATGGCTTGGAGTTGAAGTGCATGGACGAAGTGAAGTTTATCACGTAGGATCGAGCGATGCACCAAAATAGGGGAAAAGGATGTGATAGTGCACGTCAGGTAATGCATATAGTGGACATACCAGGTAAAACGAAAAAAACATGCTCAGGATTTTTACACAACAAAAACCAGTGTGCTTACAGGTTTAGGTAAGGCAGAAAAAGTTCTGACACCAGCATTCTTCTCCCTCAAGATAACTCAATATGAGACAATACCCAGCCTATTCGAATAGGGAATTAACAAATCCTTTCATGTACCTCATGGCAAACCAAAATTTTAAAAACAGAAAACTTAAGACAACTTGAGAGAGACTGTAATTTTTTGCACTTGTTAATCATTGACATCGGAAGTCCAAGATCCTGGTAAGCCAAACCCAGGTTCCCTTATTCTTAGCTAGTAGTAAGAGCAGTTGTACAGGTATGGGGAAAAGCCAAGCCTATGCGCAAGGATTAATTTAATCATCACACAAAATTCAAAATGAATAAATCCATTAAATAGGAAGGTTTGAAAGGAAATGCAGTCTTAAATGTCAACACAACAGGTTAGCTTAACTGGCTTAAAGTTAATAAATTGTGGTCTGGACAGGACCACGGAGTAATTGTGGTCTGGACTGGACCACAGAGTAATTGTGTCTTCAAAGTCACTAGACCATGGAAGTTAGGAATTGTTCTGTCCAAAGTCAAAATCAAACAATTGGTTAACAAGGTCAAACTAATCAAAAAAAGGGTGGGGGAGTAGATTTAAAAAGGATGACATCAGACTCAAACCCTGGAGAACGAGAATAAAATAGATTGCAATTAAGCAGGTACGTACATGATGACCAATAACCCAAACAGGAGGACAAACCATAGGCTGAACCATTAAAAATGAAGAATGAGATTCAACCAACCCAAATTCCTTGCTGGTGCTTAGAAGGTAATGCAATAAAAAGAGTACATAAATTAGAAACCCTGCATAGGATCGGTTTGGCATATGCTCATCTCAACCATACTTTAATTGCCGCAGAAAAATAGAACACAAGCATGGCACGATGGCACATAGAAGAAGAAGATGACATATGCAACAACTCATCTTCATGTGGCCTAATCCTTGCAAACTAAGGGAAGAAATGCCTTCTATATTTGCCACTCAGCTTAAGAAGTTGCATAACAAAGATTTCTAACCACGTCCCCAAGTTCCAGAAGAAGTATATAAAACAAAACCAATATATAATCATGGAGGCACTAATACTAATTCACATGCACCGGCAAGACCCTTTCTTTCCACACTCAAATCAATCAACCCATAAAAGGTGACAGTTGCAGACTTTATAACAATGAAAACTAGACGAGTTTGAGAGATATTCTATGGCAAACTAATTAACTATATTCCCCAGGAGGAAGATAACAAAGCAGAGATATCCTATGGAATAGACAGGCAGTATGCTGTATTTAAGAAAGGGCTGCCTCCATCCAATAAAGATATTTAATCTTTTCAAACGTGGTCTCCAGAATTGCAGATACAAATAAAGGGCTCAGGGCTAAAATAGGATGCATGCAGAGCATTTACCTGGGCCCAACCTATCCACAGGTACATTCTGATAGAAACAGCATAAAGAATGGCACAGTATGAACTATGAAGGAGGAAACTATACCTCTAATAATACTATCCATTGCTTTATTGCCCAAACCCTCCATGCGGCCATCTTTACTCTTTCCCGTAACTGTATTATGAATTATCACCACAGGTGGCCACATAATCAGATCATCCACATTTGCTGCTGCTTCTTC